GTTAGATTTTGTATGTGAAAGACGCAGGAGGAGAACGGACAGGTGTAACGCGTAGCGGCAGTAGACACCAACTGATCTCACATAACAACGGCCGATAAAATTGTTGCGTTTCCACCAAAAATTATCCTCTTTTTTCCCTCGCGGTATAAAAAGTACAAAATTGTGGTAATTTAGCCCCCACCGCGCGATACCCGGCAAGGCTCCCTCCGCTCATTGCCCACGGGGAGAGAAGAGAGAAGAGAGCCCAGAGAACATAAGAGGGATGGGAGAGTGAGACAGAAAGAGAGAGAAAGAGAGAGAGGAGAGAAAGGTAGGGGAGGAAGTAAAGGAGATGGCGAACCTCGCGAGATTGCCAGATGAAAAGAGAGGGAAGAGCCTATTTGCCCGTGACTACGACCACAGCTAACGATTATAGACATGAGACGATTATACTAGTTTGATATGATAACTTAGTATGTATGCATGTACACCAACCATTGGTCACGTTAACAGTTACATAGTCTATTCCATTTTTGTTATTACTTTATCGTTCATGTTCCAAATAAAATGGGAATTGGGTGCCACCTGATATCGAACAAAACTACTCACGATTTACTTCTAATTTACGATTCGTAATAATCGAATGTAAAACACTCCATGAAAAAATATTTTCTTCTTCGTTATGGGGAAAATAAATAATGCTCTTTTTTTTCTGTTTTTCTCCGAAATAAAAGCACCGTGTAGTGTGTTGCATATCACGAGCACAAGTTACTTCTGTCTCGTGGCGTTATTCGTGTGAACTCGGCCACACGAGTGGTTAAGCCACCGAGAAGGGGCATACTATGAAATTAGTATAATCACGATCAAAATTACTCGTACCTTGGTCCGCTGGTTGAACCACCAACCGCCGCTCAAATAGCCCGCTTTGCCGTCACCAATCGGAACTCTTCAAGCGGCGGCCATCTTGCGCGAACTTGTGTGCGCCTTAGAGGACGGGAATTACCGCAAATGTGGATAATCTTGAGTTATTTAAAGTGTCCTTAATCTTAGGAAAAATAATACATATTTTTATTTGAATATATTTCATAGAAATTCAATTACAGTTAGTTTGTTAACGGTTACATTCTTAAAGCAACAAACTAGGATCAATTATGTTCATTAACAGTTAGTTTAAATGTTTGATTAAAATCTATAATGTACATTTGTTCAATGTGTATGCACCTTAATGTACTCACCCCGGTAAAGGCATACATCATGAAAAGGTGAATCCCTCTCAGTTACGTTACGTTACGTTGCGTTACGCGTCGAGTAGGCCGTTGATTATAGTTCGTTAATTATCGCCCTGACCGCGGCCAGCCAAAATTAGAGGATTCAGAAGGTCACAACTCTCGTTCTCGCGAATTAAGTCGAGATAATAACGAAAGGGAAGAAGAAGAGGATGAGAGCTGCAATGTAAGAGAAAAAAAATAATATTACATGTATCGGTGATGGTAAGAAAAAATCAAGCTCGAACATTTACGTGTAAGACGCATCATATGCGCACGGAGATCAAGTAAAAGTAATCAGGGCTTCACCATAATAGAATCCTCTGTACGTATGCGTATGATCACGATAATTTATCGAAGAAATCTTTCGTAAAATATCAAGTCAAACGTAGTTTTTCTATTTTCTTAATGACTCTACCAACGGATAATAATCTTCATGCATAATGCAGTCACCCTGCTTGCATTTTTGAACTATCCCGATATTTTATTCAATAAATGTATCATTTACTCTTCTTTATTTTATTTTATTTTTTATTCAGGATTCCTGAAAAGAAAAAAGGAGAACTAGAAGGGGGAGAGATAGGGGGTGGGCAAAAGAAAAGAATCAAAAAATACGAAGAAAGAGGTGGGTCCTGAAAATGTTGAAGATAAGAAGAAGAAAAAAGTTTATGGGAAGGGAAAAATCGGTAGCATAAAAACACCAGAGCAATTCTTCTTACCTCGTCCCTCTGTTTTTCACCCGAGGCACGAATAAGAATTAGGAACGAGTCGCGAAAGGATCGCGAAAAGGATCGCTAAAAGAATCGGGGGGCCTCACCGATTTGGAGTATACTTTTGCCTCAAGGCAACGTTCAAACTTGCTGCAGTAGGTCTAGCCACTGCACTCTCTTTCCTTCTCTTTCTATCTTTCTTTCTCTCTCTTTCTCTGTCCTCTGTAATTATACACCCATGTATACGAACCCACCTCGTTGCTGTCTCTTTCTTCCATCTCGACTTTCCTTGGTACTAGCTGTCTTCTTCTTCTTCTTTTTCTTCTTCTTGTTTAGTTTTATTTTTATTCTTAAGTCCTTCTCTCTCTCTCTCTCTCTCTCTCTTTCTCTGGGTGTCTTTTTTTCACTGCTTGCTGATCTTTCTCTTCGTTTATGCCTCTGGCTAACTTTGCACCCGAACTTCTTCAGACTCTCTACTCTTATGATGATGATGATGATTATTATTATTATTTTATTTTATTTTATTTGCCTACCTTTGTCTTTGTTCTACATCTGAATGTAGAAGACTTGTGATTTTCGAATCGTTTCGTTGTCGATAATGATTTATCAAACAACTTGAGATTATCGAACTATCAAAACTGGTAGCAACAGGGTACAAATACAGGGTTGATCAAAAGTTATTAGAAATAACCTTTTTCAAAATCAATTTTAACTCTTTATTATTCTTTATGAAATTGTAAAGTTTACAAAATATTAATCGAAACTGTGGTACTATTTCAAGAGCTTCGAATTGGTTAAATATTTGATCCACTTGCATGAACGTGATGAAACATGAGAAATTGATTTGCATACAGGTAAAAGTACAATAGAGAAACACAAAAGGTCCTGACATATGAGGAACAGGCCACGTGACGTTTTGACCACGGAAGGTTTGCGTGCAGTGAGAAAAGCAGTCAAGCCAAAGCCAAAGCCCCGAGGAGTGTTAAAATCAGGCGTGATACCGCTTTTTGCGGGTTAACCAACGACGATACCACTATGGCATGGTTAACGGTCATGCAATATGTACTAGGTCACGTACGTATTTCATGAAAGTTCTTTCACAAATGCTACAAGTTCAGAGACCAAAGTAAAATACAACAAAAAATATTCTTCTTCTTCTTCTTCTTAGAAATTGATTTTCAGCTTGAAAATATTAATAAAAATATTGATATTGATCAAATCTCGTTAGGAAAGAATGAAAAAATAATCATTAGTCATGTTTAGAAACGTATCAGAAATCAGTATACATTGAATGTTGTAAACCAAAGTAAGAATATGTCTGTTCAGTTAGCCAGGTAATTTATCAGACGTTAAAGAAAGAGGGGGTGGTTCATTCGTATAGGAGAAAGTCATTCTTGATTACGACGAAGTAAGCAAGTTGGATAACACGCCGAAAGTAATCCACTTTAATCCGTCACACCTCGGTAGTCCAAGTTGAATATTGATTTTGCATTAGGACGAGGCGAGTAAACCATTTGACTTCCCTTTTCCTTACGGCAAACGCGATTATTGGGAAACGTGGGTGTATGTATATAGAGTGTACTCGCATACGTGCGTGTCTTTGGTATAAAAGGGAAAGGGTGGTGGAACACGCGAACTTTTCGAGGGTGCTGCTAACCGCAATGTTAGATTAATGGCGGATGTACTTCACTTTCGGGGATAGCCCATATCTTTCCTTCCTTTCTTGGATTTCGGCGGAAGCGAAACCGCTAGGGTTTCGTACAGTTATATATCTAAAGTATATAATACCAATATGCATACAGATCTGTGTACATGTATCCTAATTTGCTTAACAAATTATCACGTTATTACTACGAATTAGAACAACAAAAAATATAACCTAAAACTATAAAGAAAGAGAGAAAATATTTGAATAGAACAGAAGTTGATTTAAAAATCAAATTCATACGAAGGAAGGAATAAATAAATTATACATTGATTTCCTTATGCTATTAACCGTTTATGATTTGTACTGATGTAAGATAATATGATAAATACAGTAAGTAAAGTGAATGTTAGTTGGATATCATCTACCAAAGAAACTTAAGATCCGACAATGATCATAAGATTGATCAAATCAATATATTCCGAGTTCTCGGTTACACATTACTGAGGACAACAACGGAAGGAGTCGTGTAAGTACCTCTAACGTGAAAGCAACGTAAACTAGCCTGTAATAAGAAAAAGAAACAAAAAAGAAGAAACAAGAAGAAAAAGAATGGGAAAAAAAAATACTGAGGAAGAGTTATGGGTGAGGTCTGTAAGTACTCTTAGAACGAGCGGCAGCTCGAACGGCCAACGATGGCCTAAGGGTTCAGAAACGAGGTGGAGAAGCAAAACGGGTAGATCCCAAGTCTCGATCGTGATAAGATGCAGCGGCGTTGTCGGTTGACAAAGGGTCGTTGGAACGCCCCTTCAGATCGGACGTGCAACCGCTTGGGGGAGGCGTCCATATTAAAATCGGCTCTACCTCATTCCACCATCTCTCTCTCTCTCTCTCTCTCTCTCTCTCTTTCTTCCTTTCTTACTTTCTTTCTTTTTCTCTCTTCCTGTCGCCGATCTTGTTTATTACCGTTGCGTAGGCGGCCAGTTTGCCAGAAAACATCGTATTCGTTCATCCTTCCTAATCCTTTTCTCTTCTTTTTTACCAACTATTATTTAACATTAATATTTTTAAATTATTCATTGATATTTATTGCTTTTTCTTTTATATTTTTACTTGATTATTGTTTAATCATTAACTGTATGTTTTAAGATTAACTATCAAAAGTTTGATGATTAATTTTATTTTTTAAGGTTATATAAAATATTATTAGCAATTAAACAAATGAAATTAAAAAAAGAAAATACTTTTATCGTTTAACAATATAGGTTATTATTATTATTTAAAACAATTTAATTTGTATAAATTTGAAATACAGATATCGATTATATCGATTTGTTGAATGTCCGTGACAATTATCAGTGCTGCCCTCTAGGCGTATATTCGTGGAAATACATAGTACTCTTCGAGCCAGCACGTGTAATACCTGTCGGCGACGTCAATTATTTTTATACATTTTTATTTAATTTCATTGGAATTTATTTTGTTCTTCTTTTGTTTCGTTTAATATAAGAAAATGTTTCCTCAAAGTTCGCAAAAAAGATTTTGGATGTTTAAAGATGAAAATGAATTAAATGCTTTAAGAGAAAAAACAAATGCAGAGTTCATCAATAAACATGGTGCCAATATGACTGTAAGTTTTAATTATTTTCTTAAAAATATAGTATTATATATTAATTAAGATTATTCATATTGTATTATCTATCGTTTCTAACCTCATTGTAAAATCCTAACCTTACTTATTTCCATAATACAAATTTAGGGAGTATATTTTAGTAATAAAAATAAATTAATGTTCAAATCGTTAATTTCAAATGTCATCGTTGTATACCTAAATATAAACGAATAATTTGACATTTAAATTCAGTAATAATAATAATGTCATGTTTACAGTTGACTCTGTCGGTAAAACAGAATACAGAAGTACTTTTAATATTAACATTTTTATTTAATTTTTTTTTTTTTTTTTTTTACAAAGCCACAGGAAAGAGAAGCACATTTTCTCTCAGACAATGAAGAACGTACATTACTTAGATTTTATGAATTACAACTGCGTGATTTCTGTCGTCGTTTTACACCACCAATGCCCAAAGCTACAGTTGCTACTGCGCTGCATTACTTCAAGAGATTTTATTTGAGAAACAGTGTAATGGATTATCATCCAAAGGAGATATTGGTAACATGCGTGTACTTAGCTTGTAAAGTAATTATCATTTTATACCATAGTAAAATTAGAATTAGACTATAATTAATACATATACAGTGTTATGTATTTGTCATTTTTACAGGTAGAAGAATTTAACGTATCAATATCTCAATTTGTTGCTAATATTAAAGGCGACAGAGAGAAAGCATCAGATATTATTCTTAACAATGAATTGTTACTTATGCAACAATTGAATTATAATTTAACAATTCACAATCCGTTCAGGCCAGTTGAAGGATTAATGATCGATATTAAGGTGTATTGATTATTCATCACTGATAATAATTTATAGATGTATTTGCTAACATGTTATGATGTATTCCGTATAGACTCGATATACTTCGTTAGATAATCCAGAGAAATTGAGGCCACACATTGATGAATTCTTAGAAAGAGTTTTCTTAACGGACAGTGTTTTAATTTATGCACCAAGCCAAGTTGCTTTAGCTGCAACTTTGCATGCAGCGTCCAGAGCATCAGCAAATTTAGACAATTATGTTACTGATATATTATTTTCAAGTGAACAATTAGGAGGCATAATAGAAGCAGTTAGAAGTAAGTTATAAAATAATCAATAATATGTCATCGAATAAAGTAACATATTGTTACATGTAAATATTGCAGAAATAAGGTCAATGGCTAAATGTGTGGAACCACCTTCACGTGATGTTGTAAGAGCGATAGAAAAGAAATTAGACAAATGTAGAAATCAAGAAAATAATCCTGACAGTGAAATGTGAGTAATTCATTTTCAAACATTGACATTTGTGAAAATATGTTTTTGTATAAAATACTTTTTTTTTACAGATACAAGCAAAGAATGCAAGAAATGTTGCTAGAAGAGGATCTACAAGATGATGAAAAATATGCCAAAATTATACAGGATCAAGCGGCTCATGATGAAAAAACTTTAGGTGTTAATAAACTCTTATCTTCTCCATCCGCTTTATGAAATAACTCTTTGTGTTGGTATTCATCATTAGTAATACTTATAGGAATATTAAGTTACAAATATTTCTATAAATATTTTAAAATGTAAAACAATAAGATACCTACACACATTCGGATTTGGACTAAAGATTTTAAAAAAAAAAGTATTCTATTTTTTTTTTGTACTTATGCATATATTCTAATTATTGTAATTAGATTATTTTTATTTATTTTTTTTATATTCATATTTTCTTAATATAAATGCAATTATAAAAAGATAACACGGTGATATTGAATTTTTCTAATGAACAATTTCTGTACACACTATCACACACACATATTTAACCTCTTTATTATAATAATTAATAAATTTAACTTAAGGTTCCTGATGCCTAAAATCTAATCTCTGAGTAAGATGATGCGTGGGATGACTTAAAGGAATATTATGAAAAATCGTAGATTGTTGTCCAGTTTGTAAATTACTGGGTAATGGTTGTACGATTGGCAAAGCTGGTGGTAAAGGCATTGGCGTCAAATGTTGGGGAAAAAATGTAGCACTTGGTTGAGATTGTGTTGGATAATTAAAAAACCTGTAAACAAAAATATTCATTCATTTTTATTTTGCATTAGATTTCCTTAGATTTATTTATTCAAAATTTCATTTACCATAAACGATCTCCAACAAAAATTGGCCTAGGTGCAGGTATACCCAAACTCGAGTAATATTGTTGAGCCAATAATTCTACGTCGTTGGTATATTTTCTCTTCCACTTGGTTCGCCTATTTTGAAACCATATTTTAATCTGTAAAGAAAATAAAAAATTTTTTGACTTAATGTAAATGTGAAAAAAAAAATGCCCCGGGTGAGGATCGAACTCACGACCTTAAGATTATGAGACTTACGCGCTACCTACTGCGCTACCGAGGCGGGTGAAAGCGAGGGTCGAATGGTTCATTTTATTTTCGTCAGATAAGACCTAATAGTAAAACTTAGAAAATCTTTGGCTTACCCCACTGGTAGTAAAGGGTAGCAAAAGAAAAAAAATTTGCCCCGGGTGAGGATCGAACTCACGACCTTAAGATTATGAGACTTACGCGCTGCCTACTGCGCTACCGAGGCTTCTTTGTGAGCTTCTCCACGTTCATTTGATTAGATCAATTGTATTAATAATATAATTTGTTATTAAAAATAACGTTCATAGAGATCATCATTCAAGTAATCATCAGTTTAAAATACTTCAAATGTTATTAGTTATGAACTATTTTATTTATATTCATCTAATGAGATGAGTTTTATATAAAAAAAGGTTCAAAATAATTGAGCTTTGTTTTATATATAACTAAGTGTCCCGGGCATGACATTAAACTGCGTCCACAGGCCAAGGAATGGTCTTCTTTCAATCAAATGCAAATAGCATTTTTGGAAAGTAGATAAGGGTGAAAATTTAAGACACTCCTATTCCTTTAGAGTTAGATGATGAATGAATGAAGAAAACAAAAAGAAATCATCACATCTTTTGAATATCTCAAATATATCAGGAGTTACAAAATTTATGATGAAATCTACACTAAAGGGTTTAAGTTGCTTATGAACTTTTACAGATATGAGAGATTAATTGAAAAAAAAGGTTGTATATCAATTTTAGGATTATTAACCAAAGAAAGTTACATATTTAAAATATTGGGGTTGATCGTTGTTTGATATTTATGAAACTAACATAAAAGAATGTTCAATAACAAAGGAAGTATTTCAAGAAACTTAAAGCTTAGTTACTTTGTGTGAAAAACTATAAAATGTAAAACAACAACAACCACACCTCCCAAAAAACGTATATATTAAACTATGTAAAATTATAATCACAGACACTGTTTTAACCAAAGAAAGTTACATAATTAAATATTAGGGTTGATTGATTTTGATTTCTTTTTTCAAATAAATTTGATTTACAACCTATACAAAAATATTTATGAAACTTAACATAAAAGAATAATCAATAACAAAGGAAGTATTTCAAGAAACATGAAGCTTAATCAATGGTTGCTTTGTGTAAAAAAAATATGAAATATAAAACACAACAGTAACCACCCTTCAGAAAAAATATATATTTAACTATGTAAAATTATAATCAAAGACACTGTTAGGAAGTATAAGTAATGTAAAACAAGATTAAAAAGAAAATTGATGAAAAAAAAAAAAAGAAGAAAAACATGAGGATAATTTCCCTCATGAAGAAATCTTTAGAAGTAGCAGTCCGTTTAAAACGTGACATTCGGTTGGTAATATATCCTAATTAAAAAATCGACGCCTCTCCGGTCCGTCGCCTCGGATGGCTCACAGCATCCGTCGGTTTGCTGTGTAAGATTCTTACTTGAAGAAAAGGCTAAGAAACGATGGAACGTTCTATGTAACATCGTGCTTGCAAGAGAAAGATAAAGTAAAAGCAAGAGATCAAGAAATACATAAAGAGTAAGAGAGTAAGATGAAGAAGAAGAAGGGGCAACACAACTCGGTGCTGGCTCGTTAACTCTGAGAAATATTGTGACAGTTACGTCCGCGGTACGACACGTCTCCTTCTTCTTCTTCTTCATCTTCTTCTTCTTCTTCTTCTTCTTCTTCCCTCTGATCCGTCGTCTGATCGTCTTCCCCCTTTTCTCCTGATCCTCCGGATAATTATCCGTCCCGTTCTAGATCTCTTGCATGAATATTTCGACCTCTTTCAAAAACAATTATCGAGTCACCGGATATTTTGTTTCAGATACTTTCTTTTACGTTTGCAACACTTTCTTATTTAATTATTATTTTTAAGGGATCATCGTAAAGCAATTAATTTTATTTTCTAATTAGTATTATTAGCAAATATATGATCAACATAATGAACAATGAACATTGTGGATAATTGTTTACCAAGTTTTAGATTTAACGTAGGATAATTTGGACATCTTATTTGGGAGGAGGGGTATACAATTTTTAAATGATTTTTGTTTCAAATTTATTTTCAATATTTTTGAAAATAAATGATCGATATTTTGAATATTATTGGGTTGGCAAGGAAGTAATTTTAGCTTGCACCAATAGATAGCATTATGTTTGTTTCGATATTCTTTTGTTAATGTTAGAATTTTGTTCTTTTAAAGTTGGTAGTTGACACTTTTGGGTTGCTATAGAAATAAATTCCGTATAATTTTAAAAATAAACAATTGAGTTTTGTTTTACACTAGAAAACCGAAATTACTTTCTTCCCAACCCAATAATTATCGGAATATTTTTAAACAAAAAATAAGATTTTATTTGATATTTTTTTGTTATTAAAATCACGAGATTTTAAACTCTTTAGTCTAAGGACTTTCATCAAAGAATATTACTTTCTAAGAAATGAAGAAAAAAGATTTAAAAAAGGTTCACTCTCTCTTCGTTAGATGAATGAAAGGAAGAAGGGTGGATAAGTGCTAATTGGTCTTAAAGGGCAATCCTCCCTCTTGGCGCCATTCTATCGGCGCCTAAACACATATGGTCCGTGACTAAAACTACTAACTAATAATTTAGAGTCAAGTTGATTCCCTTAGAAAAAAATCTGGATGTGCATGCAAGTTAAACTATTTCAGGTGACGTACTATGAGGAAGTTGGTGGACACATTATTGCGATTTATTGGTTAGAATATCCTGTCTCTGTAAATTTGGTAATTTTTAATCTACTTTTTTTCTCAAAATTTATCTTCAACTCACACCTTGCTACACATGTTATACATATTTTCTTATGAGAACTAAAAAAGACAAAAAAGGACAACATTTACCTGAGTTTCGGTTAATTTCAAAGTCTTGCTAAGTTGCAACCTCTTCGCAACGCTTAGATACTTGTTCCTTTCAAATTCAGCTTCTAATGACTTTATTTGTGCAGCTGTAAAAGCAGTACGTGGTCTTTTTTTCCTCTCATCGTCGCTAATCGCGTTGGCAGTTCTTTCTTGAATTTCTCTTTCTACACCTGTCGTAGAATTGGCTCCGCTGCTACTTGTACACGCTTCTGTAAACAAATTAACACGATCAATCAATGAATTTCTAATCAAATAATCAATATTCGAATTATTATGAAATATTTTGATAAATGTTGATAAATTGAAGAAAAAAGTAAGTGGGTAGAGAGGTTAGGAGTTTGAGGGTTGGGTTGGAAGTGGGTGTTTGCAGTTCATCGTTAATCTTTCCAATTAACTACCCTAAAATTGCCTTACCCTCATTAATCTTGAAACTTTATATCCCACAAACTTGTTTATATTTATACTTATCCGAAGTGTTACAAGACGGTGGTACAAGACAAGTCTCACGGTTTAACCATGAGGAATGTCTTCCAAGTTCTCTTTTAGTATTCTGGTAACAAGTCTGTGAGATCTTAAACGGTGAGGATCATCTTCTAATTATCTGCCCATTCGTCATCCAAAGTAAAACCGTCTTTTATGTATTCCAATAGTTTTACACATCTCGTGTTAATATTCCTGTTATTTATATACAATATTTGTTTATAATTTTTAAATAATAGACACATTGATAATGAAAATTGATAATAAATATTTGTTTTTGTAATTTGTTGTTGAATTGTAATTGCAACATTGTGTGCATCTGTTAATGGGAGATATAATTTTTAAAGATTTGTTTTTAAAATAAGATTTAAGTCATTTTGTAATGCTTATAATTTTTTCTTTAGGTAATAGAGTCTTTGAAGAATGAGAAATTTTATTTGATATTGCAAAATGATTGATAAATAAAACAGGAAAAAATAATAATCAATTACAAGTACTTTCCTTATCTTAATGTGAAGAAATATACTTTCTAAAGATTTTAAAAAATATTATTTATAATTTTGTTAGGTAATAGACTTCTTAATTAAACAGATTAAATTGTTTAAAAGTACTAACAGATAATAAATTAAATAATAAATATTTGTCAGTAAAATATTAAAGGATTCTATGAGAAAACACGTGCCCACATTTCTTAAATTATTTATAATTTTATTATAGTTAGGTTAAAAACAAATAAATGAAATCAAAATTAGATCGGTTGCTTTAGAGATGGGTAATAAATATTTCGTTAGAAAGAAAAGGAAAGAAAAATCAGTAGAAAAAAATCGTAGTTAACGTTAACCGGGTACTAATTGTCAGATGGGGGGACGTAATTGTCGCGTTTCTCGCATGTTTCTCGAGAACTTCGAACTCAGGCATGTTGTAGAAACTGGACGGAGTCATTCCGCGGCTAAAATCGTACCCGTGTCTTTGATTCGCTTGAAAGTTCGTACGAAATTGCATTCGTACTCTGTGTATGTGTGTGAAAGTATCAAATCACATTTCTACCTCTCTTATACGTTTGTATATATACATTTCATGTATATATGAATGTATACAAATGTGTGAGTGTATGTGTGTGTGATATCAGAGAAGAAGTACTTTCTCTAGTGTATAAGAGGAGAAAGAAACACGTTTGGCTCATTTGTCGTCAAGTTTCTGACTCGGTTGCATTGACGAACGAGCTCTAAGAAGAAGAAGATGAAGAAAAGGAGGAGGAAGTAAGAAAAGGGTTGTGTCGAGGGGACCAAACTGAGATGAGATAAACGGCTGCAAAAAGATACTCTTAAGACTAACGAAAGAAATCTTAGAGAGAAAAAAAAAATATAAAAAGTATAAAAGACTTGAAGAAGAACGTCGCGGAAATAGAACACCACGCCCTCTAGTTTACCTAATTGCTGTGAGCCACGGTGAACTTGTCTTCTAATTATTTGGTGATGAATGACATTAGAATCTTGAAAAGAGAAAAGATACGCAATAAAAGTTTTGCCTAATTTTCGATTCGTGAAGACAACGTATGGTATGGTTAATTAATTTCATAAAATATCGATTAACGTTGTATTTTGACTTCGCGTATATGTTTGTTTTAAATAAACAAAAAAAAAAAACGTATCGTTAATTATTCATCCGTTAAACGTTCGTTTAACATTTTTAATTAATCGTAGGAAACGTTCAAACACACGCGTATCGATATTTAATTAAATAATATCATAAATTTTCATTTCTTTTCTATTTTGATTTATAAATCCTTGATAACGTTGAATTCCATAATTAATTGACGACCATCGCAAACATAAAAATTCGTTCGATATGTTTATATTTTTAATAATAAAATAATAATATATAATAATATAAAATACGTTTATACATCTAATAATAAGAAAGATTTAAAATAAAAAAATAATACAAAATTTTAATTTTATTTAATATTAAATTATATTTAGAAAAAAAAAATATTAAATTTATTTTAATAAAAAATTAAAAAAAAGAAAAAATATAAATTGTTAATTATATTTTTCAATGTGACATTTTCGTTTCTTTATTTATCTTTTTCTCAAATGAAAAAAATATTTAATTTAATAACCATAACTACAAAAGAAATGAGAAAAAAATTTATTTGCGATATTGGAATATATTTTGTTGGTTTAAAATAAAAAATAATATGGAAATTAATTTTTTGGGCAAGCATGAAAGGGGAATAGTTATTCTCTCTTCTCGTTTCTTCAAGTTGTTCTCGTTTAAGATTTACGTATCACGTTGACGGCTTTGTGGTTGAACGTCGACGTCCCACATATCTCAGTCCGAAGCTCATGGCGCAAACGAGAATTGTCCTTTCCTTAGATCTCGAATTTATTGTGCCGAGCATTACGCCATGTAAATCACGAGAAACGGCACAATTCGGGTAGAAATTAGTCGACTTTAAAGTTTCTCGTATGAATATGCTACCAAGAGGAGGGTCTTGATACTAAACCATCTTATTAATTATACTTTAAACGTTTAACCATAATCCTTTGTCATTTTATTACCAACTAAAATTACATTGAAAACATTCGACCAATTATTTTTTTATTTTTTTTCAGAATATGTTTTATTTCAAATATAATTTGTATAATTGGTTCAATACTGTTTGCCAATTCCATCTCGATTGATTTTGAAATATTCTTCTTTTAAATAAATTGTTTCTTTTTATCTTGATAGAATTAAAATATTTTCTAAAAATAAAATAGTATTCGTTATAATATTTTTTTTTCTTTCAATAGGATCAGAATTTTATTTGCAACCAATATGGCTAACCTAAAGATTCACGAATACTCGTAGGATTTTTGTATATACGTGTAAAGTATTAAATCTAATACTTTTGACATTTTGTTCTTCAAATATTTCATGAAAAATATTTAAACAATCTTATAATTATATATAAAATAAAGTTGTTTCAATGATAGAATTCGAATTTAATTTGCAACCAATATGGCTGCCTTAAAAGAATTCACAGTTACTCGTCTGATTCTTATGTGTGTACATGTAAAATTATTGAATTTTAAACTTCTAAAAATTCTATGAAAAATTCTTTTTACATTTACATGCTTTCTAAAAAATTTAATTTCCATTCATCGATAGAATTCGAATTGAATTTGCACCCCAATATGGCTACCATGAGAATTCATTGGTACTCTTCAATATATTTATTTATTTATTTATTTTGTCTTTTTATGGATAAGTGTGTGTAAGGTATTAAAGTAGTATAGTTGCATTTCCATGGCAGAATTAGCAGGAGACAGATAAATAGTGGACGAGAAGTAGGAACATTGAGTGGGCGTGGAGCCCACAGGAAGTAATGGATCAAACTCGTGAAACCATGTTCCTTCTTACTAACCTTACGTATTCGTTACTAGAAGAACGATAACTTTGAATTTAGTATCAATTACTTGGTCACCTAAGTTAATTGAGATGTTTTAAGTAACATCCACCATTTTCAAAACATTCAATGATAGTTTATTTCTTATTATTCAAAATAAAACGAAATATAATTATTATTCATTTGCAAAATATATTTAAATGTTAATTCAACATTTTTGTTTGAACAAAATAATAATTATATCGAGCATAAAATTATAATCATTTAAGTATAATCAAAAAAAAAAAAAAAACAAAACAAAACAAAAAAAGAAAAAACAAAGAAGTGAATAATAATTAAATGCCATTTAAAAAATTGATGATGAATTTTAAATCGATAAAGGTATATTTTCAGATAATACTGATAAGATAATAATTTTGAATATCGATTTAAACAATTTATTCAATTTGTTTAATTAAATGCTTGGCCTTTCTTTTTCTTCTTACTTTTTTTCTTTTTTTTTTTTTGTGTGAAAAAACTCAAACGCATGCACACACGTACTCAAAGCAGATTTTGCTTTTTCTTTTCTATATTTAATGTTCTTCATTTACTGAATTATAAATGTTATAAATTATTATCTTTTCATCATCATCTTTTCTCAATATGTCTTCATTACATCGCTGATTTAACAAGGTAGACACAAGTGTTTACCATCTGCGTATACATTAATTTCCTACTTGTTTCGAAAAGATTTTATTAGCCAAATAACATGACGTCAAATATATAAAACGAATATTTAAAACATCATATCAAAATTAATGAGAAATCAAAACTAGTGAAACACCTTTTAAAAAAAGAAAAAAAGAAAATGCAAAATATTGATAATTATAATTTGTAATAATCATTGTTTAATATTTAAAATAACAATTGGATACGTACCATAACACATTTCTGGTTCAGGTGAAGTAGAACAAACCATATCAGTATCATCAAGTTCAATTTCTTCCGCCATTGAAACCGACGAGTCGGGGCTTACCAATATTTTGGTTTCTGAATCATTTGCTGTTAATTCAAATATTTAAATAGTTTAAACAATTGTAATGTTTGATTTTTTTAATGGAACTTAATATTTATTAGACTTAATATTATTGATATTATTAAAAATATGAAATAAAAGTAATAATAAAATGTTAGTTTGTGTGTAAATCGTTTAATATTAATTAAAAAAAAAAATTATAAAATAATTTAAATTTATTAACATCTATATTAATATATAACAAAATTATATATTAATTTATTATGTATATATATATAAAATAACATAAATAATGTAAAATATATATTTATATAATTTTAATAATAAATAATTTATATAAATAATATAAATAATAAAATAAAATAATATAAAACAATATAAATATATATTATATATTAATATTATTATTATATTATTAATATATAATAATATATACAATTATATATATACATATATATATAAAATGTATAAAATATTTAATATTATTTTAAATATCAAATATTAATAAATAACAACGTGTGTTTAATATATTGTTGTTTTTCTAAATAAATAATTATTAATAACAAATGTATATTTTTTTAATAACAAATATACTTGCATTAAAAAATTATTAATTATTAAATGTAATTACAGTTACACGACGATATTTAAAATATTAAATACAGGATAGTAAAAAAAGAAAAAGAAGAATACGATATTTTAAAAGGGCTTAAGTTTTGTATCAAAATAAACATAAAATTATTATTAATATTAACAAAGATTATTCAAAGACACACCAAAAATGTATTTGACATTTTATACACCCTCTTGAGAAAAAGCAAAATATTAATATACTTTAATTATATTGAATAATTTTATTTATTATACTTACAATTGCAAACACGTAAAGAAAACTGTGCCCTTTGCAACAAATTATTGTCATCGTTAATTGGTTTCACAATAGGTGCAAGTAATCTTTCAATACTAAAAGAAACTTTCGAAAGATCAACAGCATTACTTCCAGTTTTCGAAGTTTCCGAACTAATCGTACGTTCTTCCGACATAATGAATAAACAAAATCATTTATCGTACATTTAAAATCATTTCATCTGACATTGACATCTGATCATGTCAATAACAATTTCATTTAATTCAAATACATATCACTTAAATCTTCATAATCACACGTAAAACACTGTACTCAAATATTAACACTAAAACATCATCAACATTTCTTCATTAATTTAAATAACACACAAAAATAAATGAAAAAAAAAAACAAATTAAAAATTGTATAAAATAATTTATATAATATTTATTAAAATATAATAAATTCAATATAAATGTTGAATGAAATAAACCAAAAAAGAAAAATGTAATATCGAATGTAAATTGAATCATCGATGATCGCGTCGTGATGATTCGTTCGTGAGATTAGACTCGACAGAAACGACTGTTTGTCGAGATAGTTCGAGGTGTGTAGAGGATAATATTTTTTTTTTTTTTATCTTCTTCTTCTTCTTTCTTTTGATTTTTTTTCTCTTTTTTTTTTTTTTAGTCATTCTCTTTCTCTTTCTCTTTCTTGGCGACCAAGAAGTAGTCAAATTCTTCGGCGGTTCTCCAAGGCGGTGTCAAAAAGCCACGTGCTCACAACGTCATCTTAAGATTAACCAATAGCAAGTTAACTTGGGCGTAACTTGGCAAGGCACGTGGGTTTATTCCAAAAAGAGAACAAGAAAATAAAAGAAAGAGTAAGAGAGTGAGAGGTAGTTTTAATGATCTCGTAGAATACGACGGTAGTAGAATCCACTAAACGGTGGTAATGAGCCGAACATAAATTTCTGTCAACTATTATACACCCGAGAAGGTCGTTTAATCAAATTTTAAAGGATCGATTTATTACTTCATTGTTTTATTACAATTTACAATTTTGATTTACGATCAAAAAAAAAAAAAAAATATATATATATCAATTATCTTCATAAATTTCAATGCACGTTCACTTTCTTTTTATAAATTACAATATATTTCACTTTTATATTATCATTAATTATATAAATATGTATTTAAATTAAATTAATTTAAAATATTTTAATATTCATTCATTGTCAGTCGAAATTTCATATTACTTTCTTTTCTTTTAATCAAAGTTATTGAGATATCAACCAGTAAGGGTTGTTAAAACACCCAACCATTACAAAGTAGTAGTCAACATTGTAAATATTATAGTACAATAAAGTAAATATTATATAAAATAGTATAGTAAATCTAAATATATAGTATAGTAAATGTAAATAAATTCAAATTAAATTTAGTATTTTTATTATATTATTTATAATTCAAATAATTTTCAATTTAAAATCAAAATAACTTATATTACAAAAATATTTTACTTTATAAAATATCTCGAAGTATATCATTTAAATTAATAATAAATAAATTCATCATAGATCATTATTATTATTATTAAAAATATTTTAAACAAAAGTTGTATAACATCAAGTACACCATATTACAATTTACACATAAATGAATAAATTATTTGAACAATTTTCAGTATAACATAAAAACAATCTGCTCTATTTAACTTTAAACATTTCTTAAAAGTTTCTTTTTGTCTATTGAACCCCAAAAATGTATCAAAAATATTTTTTAAATATTTCACATTTTATTATGAAGATATTTAGATTTGAAAACATTTGTTCAAATAACTTAGGAATCACACTTTGTTGAATTATCCTTGTATTTTATGAACATGCAATGCATTTAATTTTATGTTAAAAGTCTTTACCTCTTCCCTTTCTTCTCACCCTCTACACATACACACATACACAAACCAATTTCCATTCGTTTAATCTTCGAATTTGAAATTCTTGCAAATCGGTTTATAGTACGAGTAATAGAATAAATCAGTCAAAAAATAAAATGTATTATTAGCTTGAATATCTCTTGTTGTTGATATGCATGATTCGTATTAAATAGTAGCATGCAAGTGAGTCAATTTATGAACCTACCAGCTGTACGATAAAGTACCATTTTAACGACATTTGTAGAAATAGGATTCTATAATTTTGTCTCTTACTATTGCGAACTATAAAAGAAAAGAAAATAATAAAAATAATATGAAGAAATTGATACAATCAAAATAATATTCATTAGTATATACGAGATGATAATTATCATGAAAATGAATCTAATTGTTAATCATTTGACATATCAAATTACTACCAAATAATTTACACATGTTATACAATAATTATGATATTTACAGCAATAAACTTTCGAGTTCCTAATGCTAATAATAATATACAATAATTATGTTTCTAATTATAGATATATTTATATACTTAAATTTGTTAAGTTTGTTTTATTATAAAAAAGAAAAATACTAATAATAATAAAGCAATTAAAATACGTGAACACAAGGTGGGGGATGATAGGAAAAATTGTAAACTTTAAAACAATTGTTTAATTGTAATTATCAATTATTTTTGTTTATTTGTTTTCTTTTTCTCTTTTTAGTTAAGTTATTTCATGAAACGTGGTAGTATCTCGTAGAAATGGTGGGTGTGTGTCTGAAAATATCACGTTACACTTAGAACAGCCGAAGTTATGTCTAATTCTGGAAGAAAGTTGAGCCCCACAATTAGAAACTTGATTCATATTGAAATTTGTTTAATTTAACGCATCATTTCATTTTTTCAATCATGATCAAGAGTGCTTCCATTTAAATCATTCCCTTCATTAGGATTACATTTGTCTTATTTTTTAATAAAATTCATTTTAAATACTCAATCAGTATTTAGACACACACACAAAAAATACTTCATAATATACAAGATAAGATTCGTTTATTGAACACTCATCTACAATATTACAATAATTAAATACATTGAAATAAAAATTAACATTCGACAAAGATAATAAGATATTACAGATATATTTATTATAGTCGGTAAGATAAATTGACAGATAAAAATGGTTTTTGCCATTAATTTGCATTTATTTAAGTTAATTATATATTTGTAAACATATATATATATATATACTTATACATATACATATGCATATACATAAATATATATACATATATGTATTACTTTGAAAATTTATTACAATAGATTATATTATCATATAGTATAATCGTTTCTACTCATATATAGTAATTATAGTAGTAGATATAATTACTATATTAAAAAAAAACATTGAAAATAGAAGAGATAACGTTATAAGAGTACGTAAATATAGTACTTTTTACAGTTTAATTAGCAAGATTTGTTACTTTCTTTTTTTTTCTTTCTTTAAATTTTTTCATTTCTAACATATGTTCTCGTATACGTGAGCACAAATGAATGTTAGTGTGATTTATCACTAATAGTAAAAGTAATCAATCAGGGTGTGATGATTGCACCAAAATGGAAAATAAAAAAAAAAAAGAAGAAAAAAGAAACGATGAGAAAAATGGATAACACCAATAGTCAAAATTTATTATTTAGCACCAGTTATAGAAATTGATTATGCGCAAACTACATATGTATACATACATATATATATATGGATAATCTATTAATTAATTAGTTCTAAAACCATCTCGACAATATCTGCGAAATAATCCGTTCGCTATTTTTGGTCCTTATATCATCCTTTGATTGTTTACATACACATTCTTCATTTTTCATATTTAATATAGTAGACTTTCATATACCATATATAATTAGGCCGAAATGTTGTTCTTTAGTATAACGATACAAAGCTAAATACATATATATATGCACATGTATATATACACGTATATATATATATGTATATATATATATAGAATCAAAAATAGAACGAAATAGATAACAAAACTTAACATTTAAATATGCACATGTTCTTTTTCCGCATAATTCTTGCTCTAATGGAGATATTAAATGTATTTCATATATAAACTTTATTTTCATTCGCATATATTAATCTTTTGCGCGTTTTGATACCATTTGAATATAATTCTTTTTTGATAAAAAAAAAAAAAAAAATAATAACATTTATATACTTATATATTTATATATATATTATATGGATATGGATATACATATAAATATAAATATATAAATAAATAAACATATGTTATATAAGAAATATATATAATACTTACTGATGACCGTATTAAAATCTAGATACTCATTAAAAATGAAGTCGAAAGAGTCATTTAACAAATTGTTAATAATAATAATAATAATAATAATAGTAGTAATAGTTATAGGTAGTACACTTGGCGCATTGTAATTTTAATTCTAAATCATTCACATTTGTTGCGTCGAATTGCCATTCCAAGTATTATTTTCATCATTATCATCTCCATCAGTATGTAGTCTGTGTATATTACCTTGAGCTCTGATCGTTGCACCATTTAAATTGCTAAAATTTCGTCTAAATTGAATTAATCCCCGACCCCACCCATAAAAAAAAAAGAAGAAAAAAAAAAACAATAATAATAATATAAGTTATTAGATAAAGGATTTTCTAAAAAGAAATGTTGTTAAGAAAATATTAAACCTACCCTGTTGATCGAGCTATATGTTGTAAGTTTGGAAAAGTTGATTCCTCATTGGTGTTAGAAACATTCGAGGTATTAGCAGAGTCTTCGTTATTTGAATCTGTATTGCCATTTAATGTCCCATTAAAATATCCCATCAAATAATTGTATATGCCAATTACCGGAGCAAATAGAGACCACATGAAACGCGAAAAGAAACCAACATCTTGAGCCGATGTTACAGATGTTGTATTTGCTTTCGTATTATTCTGAAAAATATAAAACAGATATTTTAGTAAAAATGATATTTTTAATTCTACAATATTTTACTTATATGATATTTACAGTTTTTAACGGTAGAATTAAAATCACTGCTCCTGGAACCAATTCCAATTCTAAGAGAGTTTTCTTATCGTCCTCTTCGTTTAAATTTCTTCTAGGAAATGAAGTTGACATGACAAATTGACGGAAAGGTAAGTCAATATTTTCAGTAACATAAGTGCGTAAAACACTTAAAGTATCTGATGGTGAAAATGGTGCCATGTGAGGATTACCGGATGGTAATCTAAATTGAATTCTGGTAACAGTAGCATCAGTTACCCAAGCTGGTCGTGGATTTGGTTGTTCTGCAGGTGCTGGTGATGATTGTTTAGGCTAACATTGTAAACAATTATTATAATTATATAATATGTGTGTTAGATAATATATAGATTTATATAAACGTACTTACTTGCAAAGCTAATTCCTTTTGTTTTCGTTCAAGTTTATCTTGAGCTATTTGTAATCTTACTTTTTCTCTGGCAGCATTTTCAGCTGCTTTTTCCTTCCTTCTTTCTTCTTGAGCTTTTTTCACTTGCCAATCTTGTTGCATTTGTTTCATCTTTTGTATTTCTCGTCCCAACTTACGACGTTCCAATTCTCTTTCCTTAAGTTTCTTTTCTTCCTCTTCTTGCCTCTGCTTTTTCTGTGCTTCTATCAATTGTCTAGCTCTATCTAACTTTTCCTAGTATTGTTCAATTAACAATTGATTATATTTTGTTTTTTATTTAAATAAAAAAATAATAGTAAAATTAAATTATATACCTGCATCGTTAAATCCGTATCACTTTCTTCCTTAGTTTCGTTACTGGTAGTTGGTACATCTGTTTCTTTTACATCTGCTTCCTTTACATCCGTAGATGCATTTTCTTCTGGTTTATTTTCAACCTCTGTCTTTGTAACAGTTTCTGTCAATTTTTCTGGTACATCTTCCTTTTCTGTAACTTTTTCTATATCAGCAGTTACTTCACTGGTAGAAGTATCTGGTGTGTTAGTCAAATCTGAAGATTTTTTTTCTGATTCAATTAAATCAGATGAACTATTTGAACAATTCTTTCCAGATTTAATTAAAACAGATTCAATTTTGGATATAAGCTCAGTTGTAGTAGTACTACCAACTACAATTTCAAGTGGTATACCATTGACACCGATAAAGAATAAAGATGGTACTGGAACAAGGTGATCTGTCGTTACAATGTTTAAGGACAAATATTAAAAGATAAACAGCCTTGTTGAAAAAATTAGTTTCCATTTGATATAAAGCTGCAATGTATACAGTTAGTACTTGGATCGGTGACTAATTTAGAACACTGTGTACTATTGATTTCAAAGAGTTATGTAAAGGCTGCACAAAAGTATTGTCAAGGTCTGTAATACCTTTAAACGAGAAAGCTATTAAGACAATGTTAATGTAATGATAATCAAAAGTTAGATTAACAATGAATCAAAGGATACAAATCTGTGCAAAAAATCTGTATTGTTCGCTACCACTTTCTAATCTAACAGCAACAAAATTTTCATTATCAAAACATTTTGAAACTTCGGTAGCATTTAATACTTGTAAAAACTGAGCCGAGGCATCATCTTTTCCTATAAAAATAATTATATAAATAAGAATGAGATATAATTAGTTATACATATATATGTATATAAAAATAATCTTGATGACTATGAAATTCATTTAAATTTCTGTTAACATAACCTATAAATAAGAAGTAACATATTCACCTTCGACGAAAACAACGAAAATTGCTTTGGTTGTTTTGGATTTATGTACAGCAAGATGTATACTTTCTTCGAACCACTTCATTGTGCAAAATGAATATATTCAATTCGACTAATTTTACGATTTTTAATATATTTTTATATGCGCCTGAAAAGATTAGTTTGAACGAGGAGAACGTAGTGGAAAAAAAAATTTGGTTACTGTAAAATACTAGAAATTTTCTCCTAAGGTTAATATATTTCAAGATACAAACGAACTTTAAATGTGTCCTTTTTTCTTATATACGCACACACACATAGAAATATTTACGCATATTAAAGGTATCAAGGACTACGTGACATTTATTTAATTATTGAATACATTTGTAAAGTTACTAGTAATATTTTAAGTTGGTAGTTCGATTTAATTAATATTATTATTATTAGATATTATTATATAGTATTTATTGATATATTTTATATTAAGTTTAATTTATAAAATAAAAAATTTAAGTTTTTATTGATAATCGATATATCGAATTCATTAGTAACAAGTAAGATTAAACTTCGATTGAAAAGGAACCTTAAAGTTGGACCTTACGTTGGTCGAGAGAATCAATGGATTTGGACCATTCCTGTTTAGTTAGGGAATAAATAAGGATGGAGTGTTAAGAAGAGGATAAAGTAATCGTACACACACGTGTATCTTCGATTTAAATTAAAATCTTCGAAGTAATTTGTTGTTATTGAAAAATGGCGCGACTTTTGAATAAAGGTAATTTATAATTATCATTAAATTCGTTAGAATTATCGATTAATTGATAATATAATATCGACGATAGCGTTAGCGGCACGTTCTATAAATGAATATTTTGTATGTTGGCTAACCTGTCAAGTGAGATTTACGTTTCGTTTCGAATTCCTATCGTTCCGCGTGTACGGAACATTGGAACAAAATGTCGTAATGGCGAGTGCGTCTGTTCGGTGTATTTGATAGGATCGTAGTATTTCGAAGATTAAGTGTCCGTTTGACGATCAAACTAATAGACAAATATTTGTTCATTTTATTTACATTATCCAGATTATTATTATTTTTCTTATAAATATATGTAAAAAAAAGTACGGTTATCTTATCGATGATAAGGATTATACGTTTGTCAAGTATATTCTTAAAACATAGTGATTGCTACGTCGATGATTCACTCGGAAGATATGGTGGTAAACGGAGCGACTACAAGTGCATTATGAGGATTTTAATCTTGAATAAATGCATTGTGCATTTTGCATTATGATAATAGTACCGACGATGCACTTTAATTGAAATTATTTTTCCTAAATAAACGAGTATTTTTATCCAATTAATTATTCGTAATTAAAAAGTTAGTACAAAGTGATATGATATTAAAAACGCTAATGTCAAAAGTAAGATTTTCCTAAATAATGAAATTAACGCGATGAAGGTAACTGTGTGTTTTGAAAACGTCAGAGTGGTAGTCCCATGTGGAAATGGGACACTGCTTGTCAAAGATTTGATGCATGAAGCAATATTAAGATATAAAAAGGCAACTGGAAAGAATGACACTGGCATAACCATTAATAGTTTATCAACGTTGACTGGTGGTGGATTACTTGATCCTGATGATAGGTTATGCGATGTTGCTGATGATAGAGAACAAATTGTTGCACATTTTACAAGCAATGATGTTTTACATGCTGGTGGTGATGGAGCAAGCTCGGTTGGTACCAATAGTCCAGACTTTTTTCATACCGATGGAAAAGATCAAGGTTATATAATTGACACTCATATATCGGTATCAAACAGTAGTATCAAAAGAGAAGGAGCTAAACGATTATCTATGCATGCACTTTCTAACAGAGAACCTACATTAACTACGTACTCTGCTCAATCTTTACCTCGAGAATCTCGACGCAGAGAACCTTTAGGACAAGATGCCAAAGCTTGTTACGATTTTGCAAGTGCCAATATTGATCCATTGGATCAAGGAGAGATTCGTGAAATTGTGATTAAGAATGAGGCTGGCCCATTAGGATTACACGTCGTACCATGTTATGATCTTTTGGGTAATGATCAAGGTCTCAGAGTGGAAGGTATTGAACCTAATGGACGTATAGCTCGTGATGGTCAAATAGATCTACATGATAAGATAATTAAAATAAATGGGCATAATCTATTACACATACCATTTTCCAAAGTTCAAGATATCTTTAGAACTTGTATGACTGAAAAATGTTTAAAGATATCTGTTATTAAGCATAAAAAATCTCACAATGATAAATCTATTAGAAAAAATCATTCCAATGCTAATGAAAGCACAGACAAATCTGAGAACGAAGACAATGTTAAGAGATTGCAATGTAGCAATTATAATATATTACAAACAGCTAATACCAGGAAGATTGGTCGTATGATAGAAATAGAATTAACTAAAGGAAATAATGGATTGGGCTTTAGTGTAACAACACGAGATAATCCTGCGGGAGGACATTGTCCAATTTATATTAAAAATATTTTGCCTATGGGTGCTGCTGTCGAGGATGGTAGATTAAGGCCTGGTGATAGATTACTTGAAGTTAACAAAAAAGAAATGACTGGTAAAAGTCAAGCTGAAGTTGTTTCTTTATTGAGAAGTATTCCAGCTGGTGGTAAAGTTCGATTGGTGGTTTCACGTCAAGAAGAAATCGTATCTTCGAGTTCCTTGGATTCACATTGTCAAACGTCTCCTGTTAATCAACCATTAGAAGTATTAGAAGGTTCCAAATATTGGAACGCATTAGATAGATCTCCGACGAATAAGAATAATGATTTTCAAGAGAAATTAAATGTACACGATTATGAAAAGTGTACGTATAAAGCTGTCAAACCTTCAGAAGATATTGTATTGTCTCCTCGTAAAAATCGTATGATATTAACATTAGATATTCCAGTACATGATTCAGAAAAAGCTGGCTTGGGTGTCAGTGTTAAAGGTAAAACGAGTAGTACAGACGACAATACTAATATGGATTTAGGAATTTTTATCAAAAGTGTACTTCATGGCGGTGCAGCTTCTAGAGATGGTCGTTTACGTACCAATGATCAATTACTTAACGTTAATGGTGTATCACTTTTAGGATTATCAAATACTGATGCAATGGAAACATTAAGAAGAGCAATGCTTAATACAAATAGTTCAGTCACCGGTGTTATTACTCTTACAATTGCTAGGCGTTTATCATCTTATGATACTAATGATAAAAATATCATCGATAATATGTCTTCTCATTGTAAAATAGAATCTCCTAATTCAATATACATTTCAGATTCCACTAAAGTAAATGACGGTAGAGTTAAAGAAAAAAATAATTTAAATTCACAATCTGAAACACTTGATAATGCAGGATTATTATCTTGTGTAACAGCTTCCCCATGGAATCCTGTTATTGATAGATTAACAGAACAATATAATAAAAATAGTTTAAGAAATGAGAGTTATTGTATCGCGACTAATAAAACATGGATTGAACCGGTTACCGTGAGCAATGTTAAAAAAATAACTATAGGACCAAGAGAAGATAGAGTGGAATCTGTATTATTAGAAGAATCTAATAACGAATGTTCTCAACCTGCAGAAAATAAGAAAAATGTTGATGATAAAGATAGTCAGTATTCTGGTGATCCAACTTATGATAGTCAATTGTCATTAGAAGAATTTAATTCTTCGTCTAATAAATTTTCACGTGATGCTTTGGGTAGACAAAGTATGTCGGAGAAGAGGCATGCTGCCCTTGATGCTAAAAATACAGATACTTATAAAAGAAATAAAAAATTACGAGAAGGTAGAGAAAATAAAAATGTAGAACAACCAAACAATCAATCAGGAGATGTGGAAGATGGTACAAGAAAAGAATGTAAAACTGATAATTATGATAAAGGTGGTATTAAAATAACGGTAACTGAAAGTACCTCATGTGATAATAATATGAAACCTTATGATAAAAAATCAGTAGATCCAACTCAATCAGAATATGTTTATACTATTCCTGGATGTAATAATAAGTATACTTCACCAAGAAAGCATTGGCTTGTTGATGATGTTCATGGAGATATATCTAATACTAATCATTTCAAAGATGAACACGAAGGATTTTCTAATACTCGTGGGGATGTTAAACAAGCGTCACTTAATTCAGCTTTAGATGATAGATATAAACGTTCTAGAAAGAAAGGTGTAATTCGTTCAATGTTAAGACTTGGTAAAAATAGAAAGTCGCTTAATTTTGGTGACAATATCGAAGGTCGTCATGAAAGCAGTAATTATTGTAGCGGAACAATTAATTATATTGCATAATACTAAAGACAAAATAGGATTAAATAAATAATTAAGATTAATAAGTAAAACACTGTTATACATATATTATATATTTAGTAATTTTTATTGCACACAACACATACACATACACACACGTATCAAATTAAATACATTTATATACATACGTACATGCATACAAATATGACACCACCTATTCTCGTATATGCGTATATATATATATATATATTTTTTTTTTATTTACATGTACGATTTTGTCCCAAAGTGCCTTATAACGTTAATAATGAAATAAATCATTCTGTAAATAATTATTTTACATTCTCGTCTACTTTTTACATTCTGTATTAACTATTTAATTTTTCAGTCGAATAAATAATACTTAAGAACATTAATTATTTTTTTGTTACCAATATTTATAATCTTAGATTATTAAATAGTTATTGTATTAAATTAAATTGAATGGGATCCAAATAATAGTACTGGTGGGTAGTACTATAATACTTTAATAATAATGAATATATTTAATATAATATCGGAATTAATGATTATTATTCATATTTTGTTTCAGCATTTCAGATTTCATTACCAAATCAACTTTTCCTACAACAAAAGCGTTGTAAAGGGAACATTAATTTAAAAAAACCTAGACCAACGCATTACATCAAAGCATTACATCAAAAATTTCTCACGCCATTTTTTTCAAACCCTAACGAAGGCAAACAATTGATAGATTTATGCAGTAATATTAAAATAAAGTCTCAAGAAAAATACACCAATCCGTATCATGAAATTTTGGCACGAGAAGCTTTAAATTGGTTTGATAATTCTAAGATGATAGCTTTCCTTCATAAAAATTCAATCAAAGCAGAGGACGCATTTGATTTTGCTGTATTATTGAAAAAAAAGAATATGTATTTAAAAGGTTATCCGTCTTCTGTTTTAAAATTAGCATTAGAAGGTACGACGTATGAAGCTTTAAATATTTTATTTCAAGCACCATTTTATTTAGTATTCAGTCCAGAAAAAAATGTAATAGAACTTGAAAAAATTGTTAAAAAAACACCAGAAGTTATTCTAATGGGTAAGTATTATATATTTAATTTTATACAAGGATGATGATTATTATTATTATTAAATCATTTTTAATTTATTATTATAGCTGGTATATTAGATGGAAAGTTATTGAACCTTAATGATTTTATACTTTATGGTAAAATGGATCTTATTTCTGCACAAGTATCTTTAGTTCAATTATTACAAAATGCGGGTGGTAATAACTTAAATCAACAACTCATTCATTATCCATCAAAATTGGTTAGTCAATTGCGACAAATTGGTACAAGTGATGTACCTTCTCAAGAAAATTAATTATTAATCTGTTAGGTCAGATTTACAAACATTTTTAATTTATAATTTATTATAAATATTAGATTTGTAAGTGAAGCTTTAAATAAGAGCTATTGTTGATTAACAAGTAACTTGTAATAATGTTAATAATAAAAAGAAAATGTCAGTACAATAATGATTCTTATAAAACATATCATTTGCAGAGGTATTCTAGTTTTGTTTTTAGATTTAATACGGTTGGCAATTCATCGATTGGAATTACTCAGTCGGTAAGAATTATTCTACAATTTTCTTTGTTCTTTGAAATACAATTAGCATTAAAAATTAAATCATAAAAATCTTAGACTATTAAATATTTTTGGAAAATAAGTGATTAGTTTTGAAATTATATTATATATTAATTAAACTGTTATTTATTATAAAATTATTCAAAATGACAGAACAACTCTTAATTAAAAATTCAAATTCATACGATAATAAAAATATCTTTGGAATTAGCAAATATACAAAATAATTAATTGTTAAACATTATATTTTTATATACTATATAATGTTTTCACATAGTAATAGTAACAGTATAGTTTTTATATATTAATTATTATACTAAATATATATATATATATATATATATATGTTTATCTTATAATTCGTATACTTTTGAATAATTAATGACAACCCTGACACAATGGATCACACTTTTTATACGCAGAACATTGACACCCTCCGGAAGTATCACCAATGCCCTAAGGTTAGTAAAATTAATTAGTAAATTTAATTCATCCATTTTGGATATTTTTTTTTTTTGTAAATTGTTATATCAATAAATAGGTTTGTAGAAAATTTTTGTTTTGAAAATAAAACTAACAATTCATTAATCAAATATTATTTAAAATCACTTGTTGGTTTAGACTGTATTTAACGATACATGCATTAAAGATTATTCGTAAAGTAATTTCATTCTTTTTTTGTTCTACTAATTGATTGTTCAAAAAAAAAAAAACAGAAAATTATACAAAACTGTTCAAACTTTATTTAATTAAAATTAATATATATTTTTTTTGTTATATTTACGACTACGTTTTATATTTTTCCATGAGTCTGACGACCCATTACTCGGTCATATTATCATCAGTTTAGTTTTTTAATCAGAGTTTACATTAAACGGAAAGATAAGAAAACTCTAATCAAACAACAACTACCATTGCGTATTTTAAAAGCTCATAATGATGAACAAAAGTAAGCTTTTCTATAATACTTGGATTTGCAACAAAAAAAAGAGACTTGAATGGCCTATTTATCAACACTCGTCCCACAAAGGGGGTTGTTGATTAGCAGTAGCAAGGTCTTTTATGGTGTAATGTTGGTGTATGTGTGTACATGTATAAATATTGGTGGTGATTGACGATTGAAGAAATGAATTGTTAGCTAAAAAACGAAATTACTTAGCGAATAATCAAAGATAATTAAATTACTTTAGGACCCCAACGCAATCCTCGTGTTCGCCAGCATAATTGAGTTTTGCATATAGTACAAGTAATACTATCACAACCACTTATTTTCATAACCACTGCTTGACATTGAGGACATAACATTGCATCTTTCTTATCTAGCATTTGATTTATCAATATATCAGATTTTTCTATATTCGACAAAGACGAATCAAACTGATCTTCTGCACAGCTTTTTTTATGTATCATCTATCAAAAAAAAAAAAAAAGAAAAGAAAAATATACACAATTATACACAAATAATAAACGAACAAAAGGAAAGGGATGAAATACAATAAAACAAAAAAAAAATATGTTAAATTGATTAATTACATTACCTTACATCGAAGACAATTTGTTTTCTTACAAACTGGACAGGTAAAATTATCAACATCTGATTCATAAATGCACCAACCAGGACAATTCGGTGTTTTGCAATGAAAAGCTGATTTTCCAGCTTTAGCTTCAGCATGGATTATTGATTTTTCTAAATATTTGTTAAAATCAATTGGATTTAGAACCTGTAAAGTTAAAGTTTGACAATGACTTTTTAATCATAGGAAATTAATTATTAATTTAATATAGTTTGAAAAAGGTTTATTGTTTTTGTTTTTTGTACTTCTTTGATTTCACATTGTCCAATAGTTGCATCGCAGGAATAATTTTTATCACTGTATGGACATTTAATATCAACGTCTGTAGAATATTTGACCGTGTTGGAAAGACATTCTCTAAAGAAGAAACAAAAAGAAATATAAATATATGAATAAATAGACAAATTTTCAATTTTAAAAATAAATATGATCATTGTGTGTCATATAGAGAAAATAAAAACAAAGGAAAAACATGAAAATATGATTAAATGACTTACTTGCAAAATGTGTGCAAACAATTCTTTAATACTAATCCCTCAAATGGTTTATAAGAAATGAAACAAATGGGACATTCGAATGGTTCGAAATTTGGCACAATATTATTTTCTGTTAATGCTACGAGCTCTTGGTAGCTATCAATTTGTACTGGATCAGTTATTTTATGTTCAGTTTGCACATTCTTAAAGAAAAAAGAAAAACAAAAAGGAACAAAAGAAATGAAAAGGATTGAATTGCGAAATAAACAATTTAATTTGAAAAAATTATTTGAGAAGATTTTGCTTTTTGTTTGTTTGTTTTTTCTTCATCATTCTTTAATACTTACATTCGAATGGACATTATTATATTTCTTACATATTGGACATAAAAATTCGTATACATTGGAACCTTCAATAACACACCAACCTTCGCATTGAAAAGTTTTACAATGAAATATTCTACTAGTGGTATTATTACTCGATCTTTCAACGCATACCATTAAATATTTTTTATAAAGAATCGGATCAACTATCTGAAATATTATTTTTAACATGATTTTTGTTAATTTACACAATAACGTAAAATGATTTGGTAATGTGTTTGTTAACAAATTTTGTACGAAATAATTGTGTAATTTTTAAGAGTGAAGAAAAAAGATATAATTTATTGTACAATTAATTTATTACTTCATATATATATATATATGAATATTTATTTTTTATTTAAACTCACCTCTTCAATTTTATATTTTTCTTGATCAATCAATACGTAGCATTCTGGATACGGACATTGAAGTTCTACCTTTTTGTAATTAATTATATTTTTCAACAAATCTTCTATACAATATCTAAAGATAATAATTCATTAATATTATTACATTTTTTTATCTTTTTCTTTTTTTTTAAATCAATTCTTACCGGCAGAAAAGATGATTACATCTATCAAGAGTAATTGTAACTCCTTCACCGTACCAAGGTAATTCGTTATTACAAAGGGGACATGTATAACATTCAATTGATTCTTCATTTTTCACCTGTAATAAATAATTAATTGAGAAATACAATTTATATATATATATTAGAATAGAGATTAAATATATTATATTATATTTTAGAATTATTTATATTATTTAATATATTAAATATTATTTATAATATTATAATAAATATATTAGAATTATACATATTATTAATATACCTATATATATATTTTATATTATTATTATATATATATATCTATTATAGTTAATAGAATTATTATATAATTATATTA